TAAATATATTTAACCATTACTATATTACATAAACATTCATACATTTTACATCATTGCAGTCTGCAGAAAGAGGTATTTCTATAGCTTATAGCAATTATTATTATTCATAATAACTTAACAATAGGTCAGTAAACAGTTTAAAAAATAAAATAACATGTTTTTAATTCAACAATTTAATAAAAAAAATAGTAAAAAGAGTGTTTATTTGTTTTTAATGTATTATACTATTATCATGTGCCATTGGTAATAAAATATACTAGACAGTAATATGATAAGCTATCCAATTATTTCAATTAATACATTATTAAATTTGTTATTTATGACATGAACAAACCGTGCACAGCTACAATAATAATTTATGTAATTTTATCATGTATTACATTTTTAAGGTCTATGATCCAGAGAAAATTTGATTATTGATATTTATAGGAAAAAAAAAATGAAAATTGAAAATGTATAATAGCTATAAAAGCTCAAATGGAGTCAGAATATTTTGAAAATTATAATGTGTATAGGAAATTATAGTATAAACAATCGGTGAAAATTTCACCTATCTAACGGTTATTTGTTTTTGAATATTACAATAAAATAAGAAAATCGTTTAATGTGAAGTCGTTAGTTTACGGGTGGATATTCAATATCGAAATACTTTTAACTTCAAAAGCCGAAAACAATTCATTTAAATTTCCAGTAACTTTTTTTTTTCAAATGTAGAAAAACTTATGTGGAATCTTGTATTCAATTTTCAGATCTTAGATATTCTAACTTAAAATAACTCTCGTAATTTTGACTAATTTTGTCATAATTCTAACTTCAGACGTTGATAAAATTTTTTTGTAAATTTAAGTTCAACCTTTTTAAATAAAACTAAATAAACTTATGAAGAACTTTAAAATTAAATTTTCTAACTTTTGATCGAGAGAAAAATTTGGTATTGTTAATAACTAAATAAAGACTAATAAAAGTCAACAATTTCTTATGTGTAGAAATAGATCAAAAAGAGTCAAAATAAATTACAAATCTTATGGTGTATAGAAAATATTAGTATAAAGATTTGGTGAACATTTCAAGTACTTATTTAAGATTATTTGTTTTTCGGCAATATCAAAAAATAAAATTGATTTTGTCAAAAACTGATTTTACTTAAAAATTACAATATTCTCCGACGCGTTTGAAAACGGTTGGAAAGGTTCACCTCTTAAATACTCAAACTAGATTCAGTTTCCCTCCAGAAAAGTCAGTGAAGTTGAAAATCGGTTCCAATATAACAATTTACTGTATTTTAGTTGTAAGCCGAAAATATTTGCAGCCGTGTAAATCCGTGATCCGGGTATCTCAAGTCTGAACACTGAACAGTACAGTTCCAAACAAGGCCACGGTAAAGTTAACGATATGTCGTGTGTGTGTGTGTGTGTGTGTGTGTGTGTGTGTGTGTGTGTGTGTGTGTGTGGAGTACGAAAGTCAGACATTTCTATTAACACGAATAACACGACGACATTAGATGCAGGCGCTTTGTGTGACTATGATAAACGGTGGGAAAAAACTGAAACGGATTACCTATACAGACGCAGCAACAATAACTCTGCAGATGACATATATTTTACATTTAAAATAATATACATGTAGATGTAGGGGCCATTATTATTTTGGTCGGTTCACACAGTATTGCACATAAAAATACAATAATCGATTGATTACGATGACCCGAAGAATCGTTTTTGCACTTCTGATATTATTCGTTTTATCGTTTCCTACCTATTTGTTTTATGACTGTTAAAAAAATACCCAAACGTTAAATATAGGTAGGTACATCATAATCAAGGGCGTCCGAAGAAATTTGTCGATGGCAGAAAATATTTAGTTTTAATAAATTATTAGTGCCGCGCATTGCTGATAACTATATATAAGAGTATAATACGATATAGGCGCATGCGTACATTTTGTTTTCTACAACTACTTTGTAATCATATTTTAATCGGTCGATATAAAGAATAAATTAAAAAGTATGTTTCTAAATTAAGTCATATTATCATTATACTCTGTTAGTCGTTTACCCAGATTATTTCGATTGTATTATTTTATTCGACGTTCAAGACTTTTTCATTTGATACAACTGCTAGTACTGTGCTTAGATACTGTTTAACAAAATCATCTGCCAAAATGTGGTGGTTGGCTGCAGGCTAAGCTGAAAAACTTTGAGAAAGGGGCAAATCCACACTCGCTGACGGCGTTATAACTACATAATTGTATAAATAAAATAACATTATCATCCATAAATATAACACGACTATATTTGATTGGAATTTGAAAAGATGTAAACTATTATTTTGAGGGTCATCGTTACGGTGTCACTGTCAGATTTTAGCCTCGAAGTACGCCCATTCTAATAGGTGGTGAAACTTTTCTTAAAGTGTAAGTACTTAATAAATATATATCCTCACAATTTTATTGTGTTATGAATTTTATTATAAGACCGTAGGAAATTCTAAATAATTTATTATTAAGTATATGTATGTAAACTGTATTTTTTTTTTTTTTTTTTGTTAGGTTAGATTTTTGGGGGTGGAAAAATTATGTTGCCCGGGGCGACACTTTTCCAAATGCACCCATGAGAAACATTCCAGAGTGTTAAGTGAATGGTTATGGAAATTTTTTCTTATGGAAATAATTGCCTATGAATACATAATATAGTTGACTGTACTTGTAAAAATAATCGAGCTATTCACGAGTATAGGATCCTATTAAAGTAAACGTTTGTGCTTAAACCTATATTGTTTTAGAAATTATTACATTTTGTAGTATTATACATAAATAATAATATCTATATGGGGACTGAGTGGCCGATCGAACTAAGGCGTCGGTTGAGACGCGCAACGTCGCCGGTTTGAACTCGGCCACGGGCGGCATTTTTATTCGGGCCGTCCGGAGAGAGAGTCATCCCCCACCCTATATACCTACATACCTACTGGTGCCACTTAAAAATTCTGCCAAACCAAACACACCCGTGTTAAAAACCTACAGTACCCTCCCCCACAGTTTCACAGGCTAATGACCTCAGTTGTCGAAGCCTCAACTCAAACAAAAAAATAATAATAATAATACCTATATAAAAAATAACGTTTTATAAAATTGATTTTAAATACTTCATAAATTAAGCACATAAATTAATAATAAAAACATACCAAAACCACTATAATTCAATATATTCCAACATCAAGTTTAGGGGCTGAGAGATCCAGAATAGGATATTTTCATCTTACACGCTCATACGTCTTGATTAGCAAGGAATCGATTGTCTATCGCTTAACGATGAAAATAGTTCTTACAAATGAAGATTGAACACATAACAATAATCATCCATTATTTCACTGCCCAAAATACTCAACATTCAACAACTTTCAACTAATAGAACACTGAAGATATATTTAACTTTTTTAAACATATAGACCTCGATAAAAAAAATTATAATTTAAACCAATAACAATGTATTTATTTAACACTATATAATATAAGCTAATAATGAATGTCATTGAAACCTGAGCAATAATCATAGAAAAAAGAAACTGTTTTCTATACAATAATATAATTGGGAGGTAGGTACTCTGTTGTATATTTAAAATGTTGACCAAAGGACGGTAAGTACTTATATCATATCATACAATATATTAAATAGAATGTCTACGATTAATAACACGCTAGTCGATATACCGTGGTAAATGTTCTTCGACGTTTTTGTATAATAATATGATGTAGCTAATTATGTACCTATATTGGGTGTAAATTATATTCCAATTGATAGGTATATACATATTATAGTAGTACTATTATATTATACAGAAATCAACCCAGAAAAAATATTTAGAACAAAATTAAATGACATGGCTGGTATAAAATTGTAATGCGTTCTAATATAATACATATTATTTAGGTACTGCAGCAGCAGTGTAGGTACCTATACCATATGCCTATATTATGGCTGTATATAATAATAGGCATCAGCAGAGGCGTCATAGGTGACGGATCTGTTTGGTATTTTAATGGCTGGTGGTCATAGTTCCTATTGCTGATTTCTCCCAGAATAGGTTGTAATAAAAAAAATAATAAAAAATGTAAATAAAAGAGGAGATATTATTCCGAGCTATCCGCAACAACACGGTTTTCGTGCACGGTCCGCCGGTCCTCATACTTGCATGACCTATGAATATCATAATATAATATAATGGCAGGCAGGTATACCTAGGTAAAACATAATTTCTACAATGAAAGAAAAAAAAAACGATGTGGTACACGACGTTAATGTTTATAAATGTAAGGTATCTACATATTATTATAATATTATATAGGTACTTACAACTGTTTTGAATAATGCATGATGATATCTAAAGAGAACCTAGACGCACACCCGTGTCTATATTATAATGTGGAGCGTTGCAACTTACAACTTGTTTTTATGTGGTTGGTATCTATTCTAATTATTAAGATCTTAACATTACATTTGCATACTATTATCAGTTTAACGAGCTTTTTTCAATTTATAAAATAAAAAAGATATATGATAACTCATAAGACATTGATACGCGTATATAATATTATGTCGAGGTGGTTTCCGTTGTTTAAGAAAACAATAATTCTCGCCTAAACGCGTTAAATAATTAAATACTTAGTTTAGACAGTTATATCTATATAATTATGTTTTTAATTCAATATAACAATTAGATCAATAAGTATAGATTTGTTTAGTTGGTGACGTAATTTAAAATAAAAGTTATATAATATATTCTTATAGTTTGTTTCATTATTTTTAATTTTTTTTTAAATATAGTCTAAGAATTGTGTAAAAATTATTTATTGAATAAACTTAATATACATTATATGTATATATTTTATGTATATCGGCTGTTTTTCTGTGATTTTATTATACCGATACCGACATCTTTTTAGGGAATTTTTTTTTCGACTCTCCTCGGGAAACTTCTGTATAATATAATTTATATACCTGCCTAAATATTTATTATTATACACACATCGGTGGCATCTACCTGTTGATCGCCGGCCGACTGAAACAGCGTCGACAGCCAGTGTTGACCAACAGCGGCCGCTTGTCGCAAGTCGACCGCCGCCAGGGAACAGGCAATGGCCACCACGGACAGGACGGCCACCGCTGTACTCGACCGTCCACCGGGTGACGACACAACCTCCGCCGCCGCGGTCCGCCGACGAAAGCCTGCGGTTGGCTTCCCCCTGTCCACGGTGTCCGACATCCCGTCCGCCGCCACTTCGGCGTCTCGTTTAGACGACTTTGATCCGTTCGCCGCCACCGCCTCTGCCACTGTCGTTTCCTTCATCGCTCGTTCCCGGCCGGTGGCTTGACGACGATTGCCGTAGACGCGGGCTCGAAGGACGTCCCTTGCCGGTCCCGTCAACCCGCCGCCGAATTGTTCCGATCGCGGACGACGGCGGCCGACGAGTCCGACTAAAATTCCGACCGATAAGCGATCCTAAGCGAAACACTCCAGGGGGGTCGGGGGAGATATCCAAAAAAAATCAGAAAAAAAGTACCTTGTTTAGATACTTATTACACTGATTAAAATACCAATATATTATAATATTACGGTTGGACAAAATGCAGTTCGCGTCTTAACAGTTTTACTAATATAATGGGGTACATTATATTATTTTTCCTGCTCTTCATATTATTATTTTTGATTAGATTGTGCGGCTTGTGACTCTCTTATCGCTGGCCACGCCTGTAATATATAAGATTATTGGTATATTCATAGGTTTAGATATAACTATGTAAGATATAAAAATAAATTGTTCAATACGTTCCATTAGTATATACTATATTATTAAAAAAAACTAAATCTAACATTTTTAAATGATTCTAATTACTAATATACCTAATAGGTATAGTTTTTAGGCATAAAATTATGATCTACATCAGTTACATAGATTTACAAATACCATGTTAGTGTGTAGGAATTCATACTAATTTTATTTATGTGGACAATTTATTACTGAACTTCATTGTATTACAAGTTGCATGTATAATAATAATTATTGTTGCTCGCAAATTATCCTAATGCTGCTCTAAAAGATAAAAATGTACTATATTATGTACTCATGTTTATTAAATAAATTTAAATTCGCATTTGAATAAAAAGAAAATAATTTTAAAATACTATATGATTTGATTTAATTAAAAGAAAAGTTTACTAAACTTTAGATGTATACATTTTTTTATGGTACATAATTAAAAATATACAATAATTTGGCTGTGTAAAGCAAGAGTTTTCTTTCAGCTATTAAAATATAAACATCTTCTGTCATTTTAAATTTTGAGTGGTTATATGTAGGTATTGATTTTACAATAATGTGTGTTTTTTTTTTGTTTATATACACGATAGGTAAGTAGTTGAGATAATGCTTTAATTTTCAACTACAGTATATTCTCTGGCAGAAGAGTGAATTTAGTTGGTACCTACTTTCAAATTGTCTATGAAAAACTATTTGGTATGTCAAAATGTAAGACAAGGACCCTCATAAGTGGTTGTTAATGAAAAAAAAAAAAAAAAAATAGTATAAATCCACGGTAATTTTTATGTGCGTCTGAAGTAAGAATTTTAACAAAACTCGTCAAAAGCACGAACATTTGCAAATTATTTTGAGTTAGAAATTCATAAGCATTTTGCTTTTATATATAAAATTTTAAAATTTAATAAGTACAAGATTCCTCATAAGTTTAACTACCTTTACAAAAAAAAAAGTTTATCGGAAAGTCAAACTTATTTTTATAAATGTTAGACTGGATATATTATTCATCGGTAAAGTAACGATTTCTCACGGAGCTCTCGTTTTGTTCTATTTATAGACATTACAATTTTTTTTTTATAAATTACAATTTATTTATTAGGATCAAAAAGCTTGAAAATTTAATACAAGGTTTTTCATAAGTTGTTATAATAACAGTTGATGTCATGATTTTTTTTATAAGCATTTAAAGCTTAAAATTTGAAAAATTAAATTATTTTGTAGTTACAAATTTATAAAATGTTCAGTTTGTATAGCTAAATATTGAATAACAAGGTTTCTCATAAGTATTTCATATTGTCACCCAAAAATCTAAAAAATTATATAAACACGGGTTTTTTGTTGCTATTTTAAGTTCAAATTTGGCCGAAATTAGATATTTAAACGAACAACAAAAATGTTAATTATATAAACTATATTGTTGTAATTTAAAAATATTATTATTATATATATAGGTGCAGGACTGACGACCGTCTTCGTTCAGAATCGTTTTCGTATACAATGATATTACCAATTGTAACCTACTGTTTAGCAAATCGGTATCCACTTGTTCAAAACATGGAAACACTGATTTTTCTATATCTATAGCTGATGTATAATTCATGCGTAGGTACTTGCAATACGGTAATTAGCATTCAGCTTGATGTGTGATCTATTGGTAGTTATATTTGTTCTCAAACGACTCTTTCGATTAAAAAAATCAATATATTTTAAAAAAAATGCCTAATCCATGAATTTTGTTAAAAATATTTTTTTAGTTTTTGAACTTCAACTAGATCAACTTAGGTGGTGTGTGTAGTCTGGAGATTGTAAACTGCTCAAAAGCACTGGTAGAAACAAAATCACATATAAATGATCGATGAAAACCATCCAGGATTATCATATTAAACGTACACTTTGAATTTTCAAGTATTATTGGTTTCAGGTGCAGTTTACAATCACATTTTTTACCAACGATAAATAGCGGGGTGCAGTTTACCTATATTATACCTTTTTAACCCAGTTAATAAGCCAGGTGCAGTTTACATAAAAAAAATTGCCGTTTGGGCGCAGTTTGCGTAGGCCTGCATGTGCATCCGTGCAGTCGATTGCATCGTGCCGCACGTGCCATTAATTCCATTTATTGAATATACGCCAAAGCACATTGAAAAGCGCTCGAAAAATTCCCAACAAACTTTAACGCCTAATAAGGAAAAATCATATTTTTCGTTCATCCTCCAATAAAATGTTACCCGATTAAAAAAACACAAACACAAAAAAAAACAATACAATTATTCAAAAAAAATGCATAAAATCTCACTAAAAAATATTTTTATTCTTAATGTAAATCACATGACCTAAATTTAAATCTCATTAGATTCCATTTCCTAAAAACAAGTTGCAAAAGAAATACAGATATATATATTACATATTATTACAATTAAATACAAAATATAATTAGTACACAATATGCATACAAAGTTGGGTATTATATAGATAGTTTTATTTACAATAATTAGACATTCATAGTGGTGTATTGGGATATATATACAGATAGGTAATCACTTCTCTAATTATTTTTTAGCGTATGTACTCTCTAAAATATGTACGATACTACGGGTATTTTAAACGACGAAAACAAAATATTCCATAATTCTCAAATGGTATTTATTAGATATCAGATGATTATCAAACTATTTTTTGAGCACCAATTGCATTCTTATCTAGGTACCTTTATACGGTTTATGAGGGTATATTAATCTTACCTATGTGATTTTTCTGAATATAAGTTTCAAAAAATATAAAGTGTCATCAATGGCTACTTACCAGTCACATTTTTCATTGGGTATTTTTGATTTTGATTTTTAAATGTGCTATACATCAATATCAGCAGAAATCACAGGTAAAAAAAAATATGGAATTAAAAAATTTAAAAGATTATACCTAATGTCCTAATACCTTTAATACGTCAAGAATTACGTATTGGATCATACAATATAAAAATGATAAAATATAATGAAGTGTTATAGTTGAAAAATAACCGATATTGGGATACATATGTGATGGCGTATACATCGTTCGTTAATTAAAAAAAAAAATTAAAAAAAATAGTCATCAAAATCCAACAATTCTACAAAGCTTGAGAGTTATTCCCGTAAATACATTTTTCTCGATATAATACACCCTATCAACCCCCCCTCTAAATAGGTATCGGGTAGTAGATTAGTGGAAAAGTCTTATAATTGAAATGGCAACTAAAATATAAAATTAATTTTCAAATTTTATAGAATTGTGGAAAATTTGAAAAACTGGCACCGGGACTTTTAACATATTTTGTATATTCAATTAAAATAAAATATCCAAAAATATTATAGTGAATATTTTCGTTATAGTAATTAATATTGTCCACTGTCCACCGGCATAAATGATTTATATAGTATTTTAGATAGTCTAGAAAAATCGACGTAATTGACAAACATCGGGGAAATGTACTTAGGTACTACAATAAACATCCATGAAAGACAATTTTCAAATGTATCAACACTTGTACACACATTTTTTTTTAAATTAAAGGGCCTGGCCGCGATTTTTCAAATTTTCCGCAATTCTATAAAATTTGAAAATTAAATTTTATATTTTAGTTGCCACCTCAATTATAAGACTTTTCCACTAATCTACTACCCAATACCTATTTAGGGGGGGTTGATAGGGTGTATTATATCGGTCAAAACACAGTTTACAGGAAAAACTCTCACACCTCGTAGATTGGTCCGATTTCTGTAATTTTTTTTTTGTTAGATAGAAGAATATTTTTTACAGGGCGCATTGGACTTTGATTTTTGATTACGTTGCTAAAAATAAATAATAATACAAAAACTAAAAAATTGTAAAAATGGATTAAATTCAAACTTGTAATATAAGATTTCGAAAAATAATTTTGAAAATCCAAGTCCAATGCGCCCTGCAATACGTCTTCTTCTATTTAACAAAAACAAAATTACGGAAATCGGACCAATCTACAAGGCGTGAGAGTTTTTCCTGTAAGGCATGTTTTTGAGCAAAAAAAACAGGTCGCGACCAGGCCCCATAATGATAATTTAATGATTTTAACATTGTCGACGACCTGTGTAAGAGAGACGTATAACCCACGAATATTGTTAGCTATATCCACATCACTGGACATCCCTAAGTTTTATAAATTATTACACTGCATATTATTTTATAATTTTTAATATTAGCACAATAGTACGATAATCAGTAGGTACATATTATTACTATTTACTAGTATTATAATCGTATTTTGGTTCTCAAAATGTCTGAAAATTTATTACAATTTATAAAATTATTTAATCATACAAATTAGCTACTATACTTTGGAACAATTAAAGTGGCTAAATCATAGTCATATAAAGTCCATGTGAAACAATGTATTGATTTTACAATGATGTGTATTTTTTTTTCTGTCTGTCAGAAAAATGTTAGGTAGTAAAAATGCTCCAATTTTCTAGATCAGCATATTTTCTGATAGAAAAGTGAATCTGGGCGGTATTATGAG